ATATGGTATATATAGATGGTATATATATATGGTATATATATGGTATATATATGGTATATAGATGGTATATATATGGTATATAGATATATATATATGGTATATATATATGGTATATATATGGATATATATATGGTATATATATGTATATATATGGTATATATATGGTATATATAGGTATATATATAGGGTATATATATGTATATATATAGTATATATATGGTATATATATGGGTATATATATATGGTATATATATATGTATATAGATAGGTATATATATGGTATATATATGGTATATATAATGTATATATATGGTATATATATGTATATATATGGTATATATATGGTATATATATAGTATATAGATATGGATATATATGGTATATATATATGTATATATATGGTATATATATATGGTATATAGATATATAGATGGTATATATATGTATATATATGGTATATATATGTATATATATATATGTATAGATATGGTATATATGTATATATATGTATATATATGGTATATATATATGATATATATATGGATATATATATGGTATATATGGTATATATATATGGTATATATATGTATATATATGTATATATAGGTATATATATGGTATATATATGGTATATATAGGTATATATATGGTATATATATGTATATATATATGTTATATATAGGGATATATATGGATATAGGGATATAGAATAGGTAAATGGTATATTGGGAAGTAGAGAGGGTATAGAGATGGTAATATATGTATAGATAGATGTGATATAAGGGTAGATATAGGGATAAAATGTAATAGGGGTAGATATATGTAGATATAGTTTATATAAGGAAATATTATATGGTAGAGATATATGGTAAATGATAGGGGGATATATAATATGGTATATAGATAGTATATATAATGGGTATATGAATATGTATATATATGTATATATATGGTATATATATGGGTTATAGATATGGGGATATATCTATGTATAGAATGTTTAGTAATATATATTGGTATATATATGGGACATATATATGGTATATATCTATGGTAATATATATGGTACTCTATGGTCATATTATACTATTATCCATCCTCTGGGGGTCATATATCTGTATATATATGGCGTCTATATTATATCTGGTAATAGATATGTCTATCTCTCTGTCTCTCTCTGGTACTCTCTATAAGGGTCTCACTCTCTGGTATCTCTATGGTCTACTCGATTGGGTCTCTCTCTGGTATCTCTCTTGGTCTCTTCATATTTATCTATCCTATGGTCTCCTCTATGGTAGCATCTCTATGGTATGTATATAAAGAATGAGATGGATACTCCCCCGGATAAATGATGTTTTTTTTGTGGTTTTGTTTTGTTGACAGTTAGTTGGAGATGAGTATATGTTGTGTGTTATACATTGCACTATTTACAAGTATTTTACATTTGAAAGTTTGAAGATACAACAAAGTTAATGTTACTAATTATTAGGGAGGGTTTGATTCTTTGTCCGGACTGTCAGAGAGGTTCTGCCTACTTCTTTTTCCGCTCGAAATATGAAATACAAAAACAAAATGACGGAGAAGCGACAAAAGCAATCCAGGACCCATCTCTTCCTGCTGACACTGCTCCCGACACAGCCGGCTCGTCGCACGCCGAGGAAAAGAAACGAAAGTAAACGCCCTTTCCTTTGAAAATATCAGAATATCGGCGTCCAATAAACAAACACTATTCTCCAATCTATTCTTAAATGCTTGCTCACGAAAATATCAAATATCGTCATTAATTCAGGTCACTGAAATCAAACAGCAGGTGCTTTGTCAATCCAAACGCATTACTAAATATTCAAAATGTCCAAGAGGTGTGTTAAAACGCCGTCTTCCACTCATCACCTTCCTTGATTCTGACTAAATGATAGGCACTACGAAGATCTAGTTTGGCTGAACAGGCCAGCATGATGAAGGGAGTTGAACGCAGAGTCTATAAGTGGTAGGGGGTATTTGTTTTTATTGTAATGTCATTCAAACCCCTATAGTCAATGCATGGTTCGTAATGTTTTGTCCTTCTTTTCAACAAAGAAAAAACCAGCCTACAGGGGAGGAGGAGGGGCGAATGAGACCTGCAGCCAAACTCTCAGATATGTAAGTCTCCATAGCCTCCCTTTTGGTTTGGAGAGATTAAATAACTTGCTAGAAGGTAATGGAGCACCAGGTATCAGATCAATTGACAATCATAGGGTCTGTGTGGCGGTAGGGATGATGCGCGGTCTTTAGAAAAAAAGTCTTTAAGGTCGTGATACTCTGGGGGCACTAGAGTCAGATCTATGGGTCTGGGAGGAGAGGGAGTTTGAAATCTGGAGGGTGGCGCTGCAGCGTGCAGGCAATGAGTGTGACAAAATAAGCTCCAATTGGCCAATGGATAGAGTAGACCAGTCAATGTGTGGGTTATGGAGTCTAAGCCAATGGGAGGCCCAACACCAATGGAGCTGACGGCGACGGTACAATATAAAACGAAATTAACTCCCAATGATTTACCCGAAACTAGCAGGGAAACAGGTAACGTGCGATGAGTAACTCTGGCCAACTCTCTACCGTCCAGGGCAAACACAGTTTTAGGTTTAGGGAGTAGTTCAGTAGGGAATTTGGCCTCAGTAACCAACCGAGAGTCTATGAAATTCTCATCCGCACCAGAGTCTACTAAAGCTTAATAGGAAGAGAAATTGTGTGGAGAGAAATGGTACCTTGGAGTTGAATACGCTTGGAGGAGGGATCAACAGGAGTATGGCTCACCAGCGCTCCTCCAGATACGATGAGCCCCTGGTCTTTTGGCCGATTGGGACAAGAGCGCAGGACGTGGCCAGCCTGGCCGCAGTAAAGGCAGAGTCCTTCTCGAAAACGTCGCTGGCGCTCTGCCTGGGTGAGAGTCATCCTCCCAAGCTGCATGGGCTCTTCCGAGGAGGTACCAGACACGTCCGGCCGGAGGGCTGGAGGCTCCGGCGGGTGAGAGGACCTGGGTGGAAAGTAGGGGCATAGTTCTTAACCCGGAAATTCCTCTCTCTGCGTCGTTCACGAAGCCGGTTGTCCAGTCTAATGGCAAGTGAAATTAGATCCTCAAGGTTAGCGGTCTCATCTCTAGCCGCCAGCTCGTCCTTCACCTCCTCACTAAGGCCACGATAAAAAATACCTTGAAGTGCCTTGTCATCCCACCCACACTCAGAAGCTAAAATCCGAAAGTCAATGGAAAATGTGGAAACAGAATTTGAGCCTTGACGCAAAGAAAGCAAACGGCTACTGGACTCTTTAGCCTGCAGAGGATGGTCGAAAACTCTAATCATTTCAGCGGTAAAAGAACTGAGCCTGTTACAAACTGGAGAGTCACTGTTAGATAATGCCACAGCCCAAGCCGACGCCTTCCCAGAGAGTAGACTCATTATAAATGCTACTCTAGACCTATCAGAGGAGTAGGTGAGAGGCTGCTGATCAAATACTAACATACATTGATGTATGAACTGTTTACAGAGACCTATCTCCCCAGAGTACCTGCTAGGTGTGGGTATGAAAGGCTCACGGCATTGTGACGTCGCGAAACCAGTGGGAGGCAAGGCAGGTGCGGGGCTTGGGTCTGGAGACTGGCCTGGTCGGGAGGTCCGAGCGGGGCAAGTTGACTGGCCACGTCATTTAAACGAGCGCTGAGCTGATTCATTCCTGCGGTGATGTTCTGGAGCGACGCCATGATCTCTTGAAGGGCGGCTCCATGCTGTCCAACAAGAACTCCTTGTGAAGTAACAGCTCGTTTGAACTCCTCAGTCTCAGCAAGAGCCTGCTTGAAACTTTCAACCTCTGCGGGGTCCATTGTGGCCAGATTATTCTGTTGAGTTTAGCAATTGGACCCCAAAGCAGAGACTGCTACGGACTAAAGTTTAAAGAGTTTATTTCCCAACAAAACTGGAGGCAGGCAGTGGTGGCAGGCAGTGGTGGCAGGGAATAGGCCGACTTCAACTCCGACTCAGGCGGTATCTAGGCACACGGGAGAAAAACTGGTAAGTATCCAAAAACAAAGGTAACTGCGACTAGATGTAGCTGCTTCAAAAAACTACCGAGCACGATGGAATAATCTGGCAGTGTGGTGCTGAGAAATCCAGGCATTCATACTGGTCTTAATTAGTGATGACGCACAGGTGTTGAGACTCAGCACCAGGAGAAGTCAGCCACGCCCCCTGCCACACACTGCTCTGCTGCAACACAAAACACAGGGGGGAGGGGAGCAGAACAAAAACCAAAACCATAACACTGGCCCTTCCTTACATCTCGGACCTCATCCAAATTCACCACCCGCCCCGCGCTGAGGTCCGAGGGCCTAAAGCTCGTGGTGCATTATGGGTACAGCTCCTTTAATGGACATTGGTTATCGGCCTCTTATGGACCAATGGCTTTATGTGGTTTTTATCTTTGTGTTTGAACTGTTTGGTTCTCTGATCTGTGTTGGCGAATTAGAGTTTTGTCAAGTCCTCCGAGATAACTACTGTTGTGATTTATGGCAAGAATACATTGAATTGAATTGAGTAATTGAAATAGTCCACTTTACTGTATTTAGAGATGAACCTTTTTCTTTTAAAAATCAAAGACAATATATTCATTAGTTGTATAAATGTTATCCCCTCTGCATCATCTTAAAGGAGCTATACCCGTTTCTGCAGTTCGCTCACAGACTTCTCATTTCCCCTACGCTCTCCTCCCACAGAGCCATCTGTAGAGGCTAGAGGACGGGGCCTCGTTCTGTGATTGGAGGAGAGCGGGCGTCACGCTAAAGCCTAGTGAATACTTACGTTAGCGGGAGGCACTGAGACGAGACAGCCGTATGCGGCGTGTGCTCTGTGTTGTGCTATTGCTTTGATGGTCGGTGGCAGTTGCAAGTAAACACGATCTTGAGGACTACGGGATACTGATCACGTCCTAACTATACATTTGTATCGGAAATAGGAAGAGTTAGCAGGACCGCTGTCATGGCCAGATTCCCACCATCAGGAGATTGTGTGATTATGTTGTGTAGCTGACAGATACATTTTACAGTTTCCCGATACTGCAGATTGTATTCCCATAACTCACTCGTACATTACACAAAGGCTGCTTGTCTGCTGTTCTCTTTCCCATGGCCTTGCCCGTCTGCAGGTGCGCTAATCTGCATGTGCTCTCGCTGTGTTCTTTTTATCTTGTTTCTTCCCGTCTCTCTATCTCGAAGGTCCTCGCTGTACCTAATGTATCGGTCTCTGCCCATCTACCTTATCTTTCTTATCTGCAGCTGTCTACGACTCATCCCATCATGCCCCATCCGTGACGTGTGCTCATTGTTCTCTGATTCTTGTCCAAGTATATTATCAAATGTGTGGAATGAGGAGCGCCAGAGAGAAACGGTACACGCAATCGCATGGACCGCTTCTGTCTGACACTTCTCTGCAGGGATTTCATTTTGTATTGTTACTCATCACCTCTGTAAATAAACTGCACAAAAGACAAGTCCTGTTTCCTCTCGGATTTATTCATTTGAGGCATTGGAATTTCCATAACACCGCTAACTCTGCCTTAGCTACACAGTGCAAAACACCTGGCTACCGGTACGTTTCCTTTTCACTTTGTGCGCAATACTGTACTTCTAACAAAGAAATGTCTAAGGCTAGGAGCGCCATGGAAGTGGCAGACGTGAAGAAATCTCTCAACTTTATGTCGAGCAAACTCACAAACATCTCAGATCAACAGAAAACTATTGTTGATCTCATGAAAGAAGTAAAAGAACTAAAAATCCAAAACGAGGAAAAGGACAAAAGAATCTTCGCTTTAGAGAACCGTCTGGCGGACCTGGAGCAATACACCAGGATCATTGACATTATTGTTACGGGTCTGGAAATCAAACCGCCGACATACGCTCGAGCCGTAGCATCAGAGGGGGAGCCGTAGCATCAGAGCCGTAGCATCAGAGGGGGAGCCGTAGCATCAGAGCCGTAGCATCAGAGGGGGAGCCGTAGCATCAGAGCCGTAGCATCAGAGGGGGAGCCGTAGCATCAGAGCCGTAGCATCAGAGGGGGAGCCGTAGCATCAGAGCCGTAGCATCAGAGGGGGAGCCGTAGCATCAGAGCCGTAGCATCAGAGGGGGAGCCAACGGAGCCAGACCTGGACTCAGTGGAGCTGCAGGTGCTGAGATTCCTAAACAAGAAGAAAATATCCGTTTGAAATAAGGACATCGAGGCTTCCCACATCTTACCGCGCAGAGACAAACAGAAACCAGCAACAGTCATAATGAGGTTCGTCAATAGAAAAAAGAAAAGTGCCTCACTGAGACAAGGGCGGAAGCTCAAAGGCTCTAATGTTTATATTAACGAACATCTGACTAAAACAAATGCAGACATCGCCACGGCAGCTCGTTTTCTCAGGAAACAAAACAAAATCCAGTCGACACGGACCTCAAACTGCAGAGTTTACAGAAAACTACAGAGGACACCAGAGGACACCAGAGGACACCAGAAGACACCAGAGGACACCAGGGGACACCAGAGGACACCAGAAGACACCAGGGGACACCAGAGGACACCAGAGGAGGCCAAAACCATGTGGATCAGAGAGCTACAGGATCTGGACAAGTTCAGCTCAGTCATTGTTCAAAGGTAAAACACCAGTTCATGCAACATCTCCTGTGGACCTGAATGAACTGGACCAACTGGACCTGAATGAACTGGACCAACTGGACCTGAATGAACTGGACCAACTGGACCTGAATGAACTGGACCAACTGGACCTGAATGAACTGGACCAACTGGACCTGGATGAACTGGACCAACTGGACCAACTGGACCTGAATGAACTGGACCAACTGGACCTGAATGAACTGGACCAACTGGACCTGAATGAACTGGACCAACTGGACCTGAATGAACTGGACCAACTGGACCTGAATGAACTGGACCAACTGGACCTGAATGAACTGGACCAACTGGACCTGAATGAACTGGACCAACTGGACCAACTGGACCTGAATGAACTGGACCAACTGGACCTGAATGAACTGGACCAACTGGACCTGAATGAACTGGACCAACTGGACCTGAATGAACTGGACCAACTGGACCTGAATGAACTGGACCAACTGGACCTGGATGAACTGGATGAACTGGACCAACTGGACCTGAATGAACTGGACCAACTGGACCTGAATGAACTGGACCAACTGGACCTGGATGAACTGGACCAACTGGACCTGAATGAACTGGACCAACTGGACCTGAATGAACTGGACCAACTGGACCTGAATGAACTGGACCAACTGGACCTGAATGAACTGGACCAACTGGACCTGAATGAACTGGACCAACTGGACCTGGATGAACTGGACCAACTGGACCTGAATGAACTGGACCAACTGGACCTGAATGAACTGGACCAACTGGACCTGAATGAACTGGACCAACTGGACCTGAATGAACTGGACCAACTGGACCTGGATGAACTGGATGAACTGGACCAACTGGACCTGAATGAACTGGACCAACTGGACCTGGATGAACTGGACCAACTGGACCTGAATGAACTGGACCAACTGGACCTGGATGAACTGGACCAACTGGACCTGGATGAACTGGACCAACTGGACCTGAATGAACTGGACCAACTGGACCTGAATGCGGCACGGTGGCTGAGTGGATAGCACTCTCGCCTCTCAGCAAGAAGGTCCTGGGTTCGAATCCCGGTTGGACCAGGGCCTTTCTGAGTGGAGTTTGCATGTTCTCCCCGTGTCTGCGTAGGTTTCCTCCGGGTGCTCCGGTTTCCCCTACCACTAAAAATATGTACAATAGGTCTGGCATGTGCCTCCTGTACTGGCCCCACTCCCAAAAATAACAATTGTAAACCACTTTGAGACTCCGATGTGCAGTGAAAAGGCGGTATATAAATAAAGATTACTTACTTACTTACTTACTGAATGAACTGGACCAACTGGACCTGAATGAACTGGACCAACTGGACCTGGATGAACTGGATGAACTGGACCAACTGGACCTGAATGAACTGGACCAACTGGACCTGGATGAACTGGACCAACTGGACCTGAATGAACTGGACCAACTGGACCTGGATGAACTGGACCAACTGGACCTGGATGAACTGGACCAACTGGACCTGAATGAACTGGACCAACTGGACCTGAATGAACTGGACCAACTGGACCTGGATGAACTGGACATGAACTGGACCAACTGGACCTGAATGAACTGGACCAACTGGACCTGGATGAACTGGACCAACTGGACCTGAATGAACTGGACCAACTGGACCTGAATGAACTGGACCAACTGGACCTGAATGAACTGGACCAACTGGACCTGAATGAACTGGACCAACTGGACCTGGATGAACTGATGAACTGGACCAACTGGACCTGAATGAACTGGACCAACTGGACCTGAATGAACTGGACCAACTGGACCTGAATGAACTGGACCAACTGGACCTGAATGAACTGGACCAACTGGACCTGAATGAACTGGACCAACTGGACCTGAATGAACTGGACCAACTGGACCTGAATGAACTGGACCAACTGGACCTGATGAACTGGACCAACTGGACCTGAATGAACTGGACCAACTGGACCTGAATGAACTGGACCAACTGGACCTGAATGAACTGGACCAACTGGACCTGATGAACTGGACCAACTGGACCTGGATGAACTGGACCAACTGGACCAATGGACCTGGATGAACTGGACCTGGACCAATGAACTGGACCAACTGGACCTGGATGAACTGGACCAACTGGACCTGAATGAACTGGACCAATGGACCTGAATGAACTGGACCAACTGGACCTGAATGAACTGGACCAACTGGACCTGAATGAACTGGACCAACTGGACCTGAATGAACTGGACCAACTGGACCTGAATGAACTGGACCAACTGGACCTGAATGAACTGGACCCAACTGGACCTGAATGAACTGGACCAACTGGACCTGAATGAACTGGACCAACTGGACCTGATGAACTGGACCAACTGGACCTGAATGAACTGGACCAACTGGACCTGAATGAACTGGACCAACTGGACCTGAATGAACTGGACCAACTGGACTGAATGAACTGGACCAACTGGACCTGAATGAACTGGACCAACTGGACCTGGATGAACTGGACCAACTGGACCTGAATGAACTGGACCAACTGGACCTGAATGAACTGGACCAACTGGACCTGAATGAACTGGACCAACTGGACCTGAATGAACTGGACCAACTGGACCTGAATGAACTGGACCAACTGGACCTGAATGAACTGGACCAACTGGACCTGAATGAACTGGACCAACTGGACCTGGATGAACTGGACCAACTGGACCTGAATGAACTGGACCAACTGGACCTGAATGAACTGGACCAACTGGACCTGAATGAACTGGACCAACTGGACCTGAATGAACTGGACCAACTGGACCTGAATGAACTGGACCAACTGGACCTGGATGAACTGGACCAACTGGACCTGGATGAACTGGACCAACTGGACCTGAATGAACTGGACCAACTGGACCTGAATGAACTGGACCAACTGGACCTGAATGAACTGGACCAACTGGACCTGGATGAACTGGATGAACTGGACCAACTGGACCTGAATGAACTGGACCAACTGGACCTGGATGAACTGGACCAACTGGACCTGAATGAACTGGACCAACTGGACCTGGATGAACTGGACCAACTGGACCTGAATGAACTGGACCAACTGGACCTGAATGAACTGGACCAACTGGACCTGAATGAACTGGACCAACTGGACCTGGATGAACTGGACCAACTGGACCTGAATGCGGCACGGTGGCTGAGTGGATAGCACTCTCGCCTCTCAGCAAGAAGGTCCTGGGTTCGAATCCCGGTTGGACCAGGGCCTTTCTGAGTGGAGTTTGCATGTTCTCCCCGTGTCTGCGTAGGTTTCCTCCGGGTGCTCCGGTTTCCCCTACCACTAAAAATATGTACAATAGGTCTGGCATGTGCCTCCTGTACTGGCCCCACTCCCAAAAATAACAATTGTAAACCACTTTGAGACTCCGATGTGCAGTGAAAAGGCGGTATATAAATAAAGATTACTTACTTACTTACTTACTGAATGAACTGGACCAACTGGACCTGAATGAACTGGACCAACTGGACCTGAATGAACTGGACCAACTGGACCTGAATGAACTGGACCAACTGGACCTGGATGAACTGGACCAACTGGACCTGGATGAACTGGACCAACTGGACCTGAATGAACTGGACCAACTGGACCTGAATGAACTGGACCAACTGGACCTGAATGAACTGGACCAACTGGACCTGGATGAACTGGACCAACTGGACCTGAATGAACTGGACCAACTGGACCTGGATGAACTGGACCAACTGGACCTGGATGAACTGGACCAACTGGACCTGAATGAACTGGACCAACTGGACCTGAATGAACTGGACCAACTGGACCTGGATGAACTGGATGAACTGGACCAACTGGACCTGAATGAACTGGACCAACTGGACCTGGATGAACTGGACCAACTGGACCTGAATGAACTGGACCAACTGGACCTGAATGAACTGGACCAACTGGACCTGAATGAACTGGACCAACTGGACCTGAATGAACTGGACCAACTGGACCTGGATGAACTGGACCAACTGGACCTGAATGAACTGGACCAACTGGACCTGAATGAACTGGACCAACTGGACCTGAATGAACTGGACCAACTGGACCTGAATGAACTGGACCAACTGGACCTGGATGAACTGGACCAACTGGACCTGAATGAACTGGACCAACTGGACCTGAATGAACTGGACCAACTGGACCTGGATGAACTGGATGAACTGGACCAACTGGACCTGAATGAACTGGACCAACTGGACCTGAATGAACTGGACCAACTGGACCTGAATGAACTGGACCAACTGGACCTGGATGAACTGGACCAACTGGACCTGAATGAACTGGACCAACTGGACCTGAATGAACTGGACCAACTGGACCTGAATGAACTGGACCTGAATGAACTGGACCTGGATGAACTGGACCAACTGGACCTGGATGAACTGGACCAACTGGACCAACTGGACCTGGATGAACTGGACCTGAATGAACTGGACCAACTGGACCTGGATGAACTGGACCTGGATGAACTGGACCAACTGGACCTGAATGAACTGGACCTGGGTGAACTGGACCAACTGGACCTGGATGAACTGGACCAACTGGACCTGAATGAACTGGACCAACTGGACCTGGATGAACTGGACCAACTGGACCTGAATGAACTGGACCAACTGGACCTGAATGAACTGGACCAACTGGACCTGGATGAACTGGACCAACTGGACCTGAATGAACTGGACCAACTGGACCTGGATGAACTGGACCAACTGGACCTGGATGAACTGGACCAACTGGACCTGAATGAACTGGACCAACTGGACCTGAATGAACTGGACCAACTGGACCAACTGGACCTGGATGAACTGGACCAACTGGACCTGAATGAACTGGACCTGAATGAACTGGACCTGGATGAACTGGACCAACTGGACCTGAATGAACTGGACCAACTGGACCTGAATGAACTGGACCAACTGGACCTGGATGAACTGGACCAACTGGACCTGAATGAACTGGACCAACTGGACCTGGATGAACTGGACCAACTGGACCTGAATGAACTGGACCAACTGGACCTGAATGAACTGGACCAACTGGACCTGGATGAACTGGATGAACTGGACCTGAATGAACTGGACCAACTGGACCTGAATGAACTGGACCAACTGGACCTGAATGAACTGGACCTGAATGAACTGGACCTGGATGAACTGGACCAACTGGACCTGAATGAACTGGACCAACTGGACCTGAATGAACTGGACCAACTGGACCTGGATGAACTGGACCAACTGGACCTGAATGAACTGGACCTGGGTGAACTGGCTACTGGCGGAGAAGCTCCAGCTGAACACGGTGGAGGTGGAAAGGGCGCACCGTGTAGGGAGACGTGACAGCGGGGCGGACCGGCCGAGGCCAATCATCGCCAAACTACTGCGCTGGAAAGACCGAGAAGCCATCCTGCAGCGTGCAAAATGTCTCAAAGGATCCAAGATCTTCATAAACGAGGATTACACGGACGCGGTCAAGAAGAAAAGAAGAGAACTGATACCGGAGATGAGAGCCGCACGAGAAAGGGGAGCGATTGCTTTTTTACGCTACGATAAACTAATTGTTCGGCCGCACACCAGCACAGCTAACCAAGCTAACCAAGCTAACCAAGCTAACCCAACGTAAACAAAATGACAAACTGCTAGAACTGGTATGTTGAAGTGCACATTTTTTTTCACATGACCTACAATTTACCTACTATAGGAAGTTCTGACTTGGATCACCCACTAAAGAGAACTGAAACTCTCAATCTGGACTTTGCATACTCTAAGTACGATTTACAGAACAATGAGAGCGAAATTGATCCTGAAATTAACTTTTTTAAGAGAGCCGTTCATGAATGTCAGTATTACACCGAGGACGTTTTCAATGAGAGAGTTACTAATGTAAATCTTTTTTCTGTAATCCACTTCAATAGTCGAAGCCTTAATGCAAATTTCGACCACATCAAGACCTACTTAAAACAATTTTCAAAACCATTTAACGTAATTTTAGTAACAGAGACATGGATTAGTAATGACAGAGAAATGGAGTTTGGTATTGAAGGCTATGAGTTTATAAACGTGAGCAGAAAAAATAAGCAGGGCGGAGGTGTAGCTCTGTTTATAGATTCCAATCTTTGTTATAAAGTACTTGAAAACAAGACAATGACAGTAGATGGTGTACTTGAATGTGTCACAGTAGAAATTGCAAGGGAAAAAATGAAAAATATTATTGTAAGTTGTATTTATAGAACACCTGGGTCTGATATAGATGTTTTTTCTAAATGGATGGAGGAAACATTTTCAAGTTCTAATCAGAACGTCATGTTTGTGGGGGGAGATTTTAACATCGATCTGCTGAACCCAAATAAGCATAGTAAGACAGACGAATTCATAAACACCTTATTCAGTATAGGCTTGTATCCCTTAATAACTAAACCAAGTAGAATCACAACTCATAGTAGTACCTTAATTGATAACATTTTCTCGAATGAAATAGAAAGTGACATAGTTAGCGGACTAATGTTAAATGATATTAGTGATCACCTCCCAGTGTTTGTATTGTACAAAAGTGAAGGTCAGAAAAACTATAACAAAAAAATGTATTGTTTTAAGAGAGTGAAAACAGAGAAAGCCATTGATGCACTTAAAACAGAATTGTTAACCCAAGATTGGAGTGTCATTTACAAAGAGAATGACACTAACAAGGCATATGAGGAGTTTGTGCGAATCTTTCTGAAGATATATGATAAAATCTGCCCAGTGAAAAAATATAGTAATAATAATAGAAAAGGGAAAGTAAAACCATGGATTTCCAAAGGACTACTTAATGCATGCAAGAAAAAGAACTCACTGTACAAAAAATTTATTAAAACTAGAACAACAGAAGCTGAAGATAAATATAAGAAATATAAAAATAAATTAACTAGTATAATTAGAAATTGTAAACAACATTATTACAATAACTTGTTAGATTGCAATAAGAATAATATTAAAGGCCTATGGAATATCTTAAATAGTATAATTAGAAATAAACCAAGAGCGATCAATTATCCGCAATATTTTAAAGATGAAGATAAAACTATAAATAATATGAATAATGTTGTCGATACATTCAATAAGTTTTTTGTAGACGTGGGCCCAAATCTTGCTGCTAAAATTAAGAATGTTGAAAAATACAACTGTGAGCTCATAGACACAAATCCCATGACAATGTTTCTCAATCCTGTTGAGGAGAAAGAGATCCTGGACTTGGTTAAAGGGTGTAAAAATAAAACTTCAACAGATCACTATGACATAGATATGATGACTTTAAAGAGTGTTATTGAAAGTGTTTCTAAGCCACTAACACATATTTGTAATTTATCGTTGAAAACTGGACAATTTCCCGAAAGCATGAAGATTGCTAAAGTGATCCCTCTGTTCAAGTCAGGAGAGAAACATCTGTTCACAAACTATAGGCCTGTTTCTCTCTTACCACAATTCTCCAAAATCTTAGAGAAGGTTTTCAACTCCAGACTCGACAGTTTTATAGAAAAACACACATTACTCTCCGATTTTCAGTTTGGTTTTAGAAGCAATCATTCAACTTCACATGCGCTTTTTGACATAATTGAAGATATAACCAATGCTCTAGACAACAGAAAATATGCAATAGGATTATTCATCGACCTAAGTAAAGCCTTTGATACAATAAACCATGAGCTATTAATCAATAAACTGGAACATTATGGGATCAGAGGGGTAGCACTGCAGTGGGTGACTAGTTATTTACAAGATAGGAAGCAATATGTGAGAATGGGTGAATATCAGTCCAGTTATCGAAAGATTGTGTGTGGATTACCTCAAGGTTCCATTTTGGGTCCAAAGTTGTTTAATATGTACATCAATGATATTTGTAAAACCTCCCATATACTTAAATTCATCCTATTTGCAGATGATACAAATATTTTTGCATCAGGAGACAATTTAAATCAACTGTGTCAAAAGATTAACTTGGAACTCAAAAGTGTCAGTAAGTGGTTCATACAAAATAAACTATCTCTGAATCTCAGTAAAAGTAAAATGATAATATTTGGCAACTGTAATCCCACCACTCAAGATGTAATACAGATAGAGGGTGCGGTTATAGAGCAGGTACATGAAATCAAATTCCTTGGGGTCATTATAGATGACAAGATTACCTGGAAATCACACATTAAATATATAGCCACTAAGATCTCACGAAGCATTTCAGTCATAGCAAAAGCTAAGCACACTTTAAACATCAGAGCTCTACACACACTATACTGCTCTCTAATTTTGCCCTATTTGAATTACTGCACTGTAGTATGGGGTAGTACCTATAAAAATACTTTAAAGCCGTTGGTGATATTACAAAAAAGAGCTGTGAGACTAATTCATAGAGCCGGGTTTTTGGACCACACAAACTCCTTATTTTTAAAATCAAAAATAATGAAGTTTTGCGACATTTTTGAGTTCCAGTCAGTACAGATGTTATACAAAGCAAGGTACAAACTGTTACCAAACCAAATACAAAGTAGATTTCTTGAGCGTACTGGATGTTATGGATTACGAGGGGAACTAAACTTTAAATCACAGAAACATAGGACCACTTTGAAAAGTTTTAGCCTGACAGTTAATGGCATTCAACTGTGGAACCAATTAGAGACGGCAATGAAGCAATGTCCAAACATTATCTTGTTTAAGTATAAATACAAACAAAAGATCTTTGAAAAATATAGAGAAATATTGGGTCACCACTAGGGGGTGCAGTGCAATCAATGAATAGCTATTGTTCAAATTGAGTGTTGCTGCTTGGAACATAAGTTATTTATTTTGTTCAAATTCCAGTAAGGAGAAATAGGGCGAGCTGTGCATCCGTTGAGAGGTACCTCCTCCCAAGGGATCACACATCTTTTAATGCATCACTCAGTATAGAAAGACAAGAACATTTAAAGTTTACATTTACAAGAGCAGCTGATAGGGCAGCTGGGTGGGGTCTGTTGGTGAGGAGTCACTGCCGTCTCCAACTGGCTTTACACCCTGGCTTTTTATCGCACAACACTACATAGGGTCACTGCCTACTCTGAAAAAAAAAAAAAAAAAATAAAAAAAAAATTAAATAAAATACAAAAATAATAATAATAATAAATAAATAAATATAAAGAAATATTCTGCTTTCTAGCTGCAACATCTCTTTTTTTTTTGAGCGAAATAGGTTTAATTTGTTCACAGTAACTTGCTGTCAGTATATTTAAAATAATAATATGGTGATATTGTGTCTCTTGCTTTGTGGAGATCTGTCTTAACCAGACTGTTGTTGTGTCTCACTCTGGTAATAAGATTAAGAACAGTTCAAAGTATATTGAAACTGCCTTGAAACATAAACTTAAAATCTATTTTGTCCTTTTGTCAGTGAGTCCTTCTGGTCTCTCTCTGGTAAGTAAAGTCAAAGTTAATGTCATGACATATTCTTTACTCTGTAAATTGATAAATTGATTGTGATTGTTCTGTTGTTCAGTATGAGCAGATGTAGCTCTTGTGTGCCTTTTATCCCTGTTCTGAGCTATATTCAATATGTAAATTTCGATTGTAATTAGCTTTGGGGTGCGGTGCTAATAAGCTTTTGCTTCAGCCCACTCCTTTTGTGCAGTATTAATACTGTTCAAATAAATAAATAAATAACTGGACCTGGATGAACTGGACCAACTGGACCTGGATGAACTGGACCAACTGGACCTGAATGAACTGGACCAACTGGACCTGGATGAACTGGACCAACTGGACCTGGATGAACTGGACCTGGGTGAACTGGACCTGAATGAACTGGACCTGAATGAACTGGACCAACTGGACCTGGATGAACTGGACCAACTGGACCTGAATGAACTGGACCAACTGGACCTGAATGAACTGGACCAACTGGACCTGGATGAACTGGACCAACTGGACCTGGATGAACTGGACCAACTGGACCTGAATGAACTGGACCAACTGGACCTGGATGAACTGGACCAACTGGACCTGAATGAACTGGACCTGGGTGAACTGGACCTGAATGAACTGGACCTGAATGAACTGGACCAACTGGACCTGAATGAACTGGACCAACTGGACCTGAATGAACTGGACCAACTGGACCTGAATGAACTGGACCAACTGGACCTGAATGAACTGGACCAACTGGACCTGGATGAACTGGGCCAACTGGACCTGGATGAACTGGACCAACTGGACCTGGATGAACTGGACCAACTGGACCTGGATGAACTGGACCAACTGGACCTGAATGAACTGGACCAACTGGACCTGAATGAACTGGACCAACTGGACCTGAATGAACTGGACCAACTGGACCTGGATGAACTGGGCCAACTGGACCTGGATGAACTGGACCAACTGGACCTGGATGAACTGGACCTGGGTGAACTGGACCTGAATGAACTGGACCTGAATGAACTGGACCAACTGGACCTGAATGAACTGGACCAACTGGACCTGAATGAACTGGACCAACTGGACCTGAATGAACTGGACCAACTGGACCTGAATGAACTGGACCAACTGGACCTGGATGAACTGGGCCAACTGGACCTGGATGAACTGGACCAACTGGACCTGGATGAACTGGACCTGGGTGAACTGGACCTGGATGAACTGGACCAACTGGACCTGGATGAACTGGACCAACTGGACCTGAATGAACTGGACCAACTGGACCTGAATGAACTGGACCAACTGGACCTGGATGAACTGGACCAACTGGACCTGGATGAACTGGACCAACTGGACCTGGATGAACTGGACCAACTGGACCTGAATGAACTGGACCAACTGGACCTGAATGAACTGGACCAACTGGACCTGAATGAACTGGACCTGAATGAACTGGGCCTGAATGAACTGGACCAACTGGACCTGAATGAACTGGACCAACTGGACCTGAATGAACTGGACCTGGATGAACTGGACCAACTGGACCTGAATGAACTGGACCAACTGGACCTGGGTGAACTGGACCAACTGGACCTGAGTGAACTGGACCTGAATGAACTGGACCTGGGTGAACTGGACCTGAATGAACTGGACCTGGATGAACTGGACCTGGGTGAACTGGACCTGAATGAACTGGACCTGGATGAACTGGACCTGAATGAACTGGACCTGAATGAACTGGACCTGGGTGAACTGGACCTGAATGAACTGGACCTGAATGAACTGGACCTGGATGAACTGGACCTGGATGAACTGGACCTGAATGAACTGGACCTGAATGAAGTGGACCTGGATGAACTGGACCTGGATAAACTGGACCTGGATGAACTGGACCTGGATGAACTGGACCTGGATGAACTGGACCTGAATGAACTGGACCTGGATGAACTGGACCTGAATGAACTGGACCTGAATGAACTGGACCTGGATGAACTGGACCTGGATGAACTGGACCTGGATGAACTGGACCTGGATGAACTGGACCTGGATGAACTGGACCTGAATGAACTGGACCTGGATGAACTGGACCTGAATGAACTGGACCTGAATGAAGTGGACCTGGATGAACTGGACCTGGATGAACTGGACCTGGATGAACTGGACCTGGATGAACTGGACCTGGATGAACTAGAGAATTATATTCTGAAGATGAAACGAGCTTCAATGACTTGACTGTAGATATTGACCCAGATGTAAACTGTCAATATGAGCACGAACAACAAGTACAGACACTTAGTTTGATCAATAATACATCTAAATACGGGTGTGTAAGAGTGTGTAAGAGTGTGTAAGGGTGTGTAAGGGTGTGTAAGAGTGTGTAAGGGTGTGTAAGAGTGTGTAAGAGTGTGTAAGGGTGTGTAAGGGTGTGTAAGGGTGTGTAAGAGTGTGTAAGGGTGTGTAAGAGTGTGTAAGAGTGTGTAAGAGTGTGTAAGAGTGTGTAAGGGTGTGTAAGAGTGTGTAAGAGTGTGTAAGAGTGTGTAAGAGTGTGTAAGGGTGTGTAAGGGTGTGTAAGAGTGTGTAAGGGTGTGTAAGAGTGTATAAGAGTGTGTAAGAGTGTGTAAGGGTGTGTAAGGGTGTGCAAGAGTGTGTAAGAGTGTGTAAGAGTGTGTAAGAGTGTGTAAGAGTGTGTAAGGGTGTGTAAGGGTGTGTAAGAGTGTGTAAGGGTGTGTAAGGGTGTGTAAGAGTGTGTAAGGGTGTGTAAGGGTGTGTAAGAGTGTGTAAGGGTGTGTAAGGGTGTGTAAGGGTGTGTAAGGGTGTGTAAGAGTGTGTAAGAGTGTGTAAGAGTGTGTAAGAGTGTGTAAGGGTGTGTAAGAGTGTGTAAGAGTGTGTAAGAGTGTGTAAGGATGTGTAAGAGTGTGTAAGGGTGTGTAAGAGTGTGTAAGAGTGTGTAAGGGTGTGTAAGGGTGTGTAAGAGTGTGTAAGAGTGTGTAAGAGTGTGTAAGAGTGTGTAAGGATGTGTAAGAGTGTGTAAGAGTGTGTAAGAGTGTGTAAGAGTGTGTAAGGGTGTGTAAGGGTGTGTAAGAGTGTGTAAGGGTGTGTAAGAGTGTGTAAGAGTGTGTAAGGGTGTGTAAGGGTGTGTAAGAGTGTGTAAGAGTGTGTAAGGGTGTGTAAGGGTGTGTAAGAGTGTGTAAGGCCCTGTCCCAATTCCAACACTTGCCCTCGCTTTGAGCCCTTCCCCTTCATTTTGCGCGTTCCCGCGAGGGGGAAGGGTGTCCCAATACTTAGGGAGCATAGAGGAAGTGCCTATCTCCCCTTGAAAAGGCCCCTCCGCAGCGAGTCAGCACAGGAGCAGACTTGCGGCCGGATAGCAGCAAGGGAGTATCCCATAATGCCTTGCAAGCTCAGCCAGCGGCAAAAAAGATGGCGGCAACCAGTGGAAGCGAAATTTACAAATGTAAGTATAAATTAGCAAATACGCTAATGTTAATACTTTTCACCAGGGGTTAGTGGACATGTGTGCCTGTAATATGAGCAGCATTTGTGGGTGTGGTTATATTGAAAGTTTTAGAGTAAATTGAGTTCGTAAAACACCTGCGGCGCAGCAGCGCGGAGGCGAAGCAGCAGCGGTAGAGCTGAGAGGAGCGAGAGCAGAGCAGAGGGAAAGAGTGTTTTTTATTTTACTCACGAGGTCTTCAGTACCAGAGAAGTACTTGGTCTGGTACTGGCTCACTCAGAATCAGAGGAGGAAGACACGCAGGTGTCCAGTGAAGCAGACACGGACATTATTGGTGACGGGGAGACCGCGCTCCATAGTCCACTATCAGCCCCAGTACAGCGGCTGCTTGTCCTCCGTGTGGCCAAGATAGAAGCATTCTGTGAACGCCAAACAGGGTCCGTGGTGGAGGGGACAGGGGCATCATAACACCGGGCATGTGGGAGAAAGTAGCGGGGGTAAACATCCACGGGGAACACGGGAGACGCGGGAGAAGTCGCGGGAGAGCCGCGGGAAAAAAACACATCGCTAATCGCGTTCACTGCCTTTACCAGCAGCGATGATGAGGATGAAGACAGTTCTTGAGAGAAAATAATCCACAAAAGTGGATCAGAAGTGTTGAAGAGCCTGTTGTATGTTGTTGAGACGATCTGACATGTTCTGAGCCCATTAATTTCATCTCTCTGTTTCTAAACGGTAAATCCTGGAACCTCATTTCCACTGAGAAAAATAATAAGCCCACTACTTCTCTGAAAGGGAAATATTGAAACCAATCTCAAGATTTCATGACTGTAAACTATAAAGAGTGCTGTCTTGATCACTGAAGGTCTTTGAAAATAATACAATTCCATATGGCCGCGAACCAGTGCTAAAACATTATCTATAATCTGGATCAGGGAATTTATTTCTATCCCAAATTCATTTAATACTAAAGATATTACAGTTACACGTTACGATTCATAAGCGAAAACTTACAAAGTATGAAAGAACGCCGTAGATTGTGTTTGCCACATGCCATATCGCACGACACATATCGGGTCTATAAATTTAGCATTGGAGGGGGAAAAAATATGGAATCTGATGGAATTTTTTTATATCTTTTCAGGGCCTACAGAGAAGACCTTTGGCCTCATCCGCTTTAGGGTAGCAAATGATGGCAAATTTTTAAAGACAAAATTCACCACCAAAAGCTTGTGGGTGTGAGTGACCAGATTGTACAAATCATATCTGATAATACTATTGACCCAAGGTACATGCCCATATTGATATTCACTGTATGCTTACAGGCAAGCAGTGAAAGAGCTGGGCCTGGAGGGTGTAATCACCCACAAGCAGGCCAGCAAGAAGTGGGAAAATTTAAAGAAGCGTTATAAGGTTATTATTTGTGTGTATATATATATATATATATATATATATATATATATAATATATATATATATATATATATATATAAAATCTGTTTTATATCTTTTATCCCGTAATCTACAACTTTTCATTTCGCTCCCTCTGTCACACACTCACACGTCTCTTTCTTTGTAGGCACTGAGAGATGGAAATACGGGCACTGGCACAGACGGCGGAGAAACAACTGCGTCAAATTGGGCATTTTATGAAGAGATGCATGCTTTTTTGGGGGGGAGGCCAGCAGTTGCTCCCCCAGTTGTTGTGTCTTCCTTCAGACAAGCTCAGGAGGACCCCACAGCCCTGTTAATGGTAAGGTGACTGGAGTAGGAATTGCCATTTTCTGAATTAGCTGGGTTGCCATGGTTTCCAGTTTAATTTTTCAGTTTGAACATTAAAGTGCTGTAAAAAATGTGATGGGTAGAAAAAAGAAAGGAATACACCTCACAAAAACTTACATCACCATCAAAGCTCTAATTTGTGCTGTATATTACTTTTCTTTACTGCCATTCACCTTATTAGCAGTGCTTTAATGCAAAACCAGGCAGCTTTAGCAGGAAATTGTTCTACCGTCCATGTTATTAAAATGCACTTGGAAACCATGGCTACCCAGCTAATTCAGAAATTGGCAATTATAACATTTTACAATAACTTTGAAATAAGACCTCAATTATTTTTGTCCCGAACAGGCCATTGTCACACCACAGCCTGAAACCCCCAGAGAAGACCTTCCTCAGTCTGCCCCAGCCTCTTCAACCAATCCTCCCACTACACCGCCTGTCAGTCCAACCACAGCCTCTTCAAACAATCCTCCCACTCCAACCACAACCTCTTCGACCAATCCAACTACACCATCCACCACAGCCTCTTCCATCATTCCAGCTACTCCATCCACCACCCTGTCTACCACGCCAAACCCATCGCCAAGGAAGAGGAAGAAGAATGCTAACCAGCAAATTCTGGACTTCCTCAAAACCGAATCCGTTAATGAACAGAGAAGGCATACGGAATCCGAAGACAAAACTGAAAGGTTTATAAACTTTTTTGAAAGATTTGTGGACAAAATGCCTGACAAATAGACAGTTTTTCTTTTAATATCCAGGCTGTTTATGTTCATTGCCATGTTATTTTGACCATCACTTATTTCAATTGTTGACTTGTTTTTATTCTGTTTATGTTCAGAGTTCTTTATTATACAACTTTTATAAAAGTATGTGACTATCAATCATTTTCACCAATCATCCAAATACAGTGTGTAGATCATAAAAGAAACTATCACCAACATGTTCTAGAAATAAGTTTAATAGAGTTTCAAATAATTATTTCCAACTGACCAGGAAGTAATGGATCCTGGGAAATGACAATATATAAAATGAACCATAAGTACAAACTTAAAAATAGCACAAGAACATGTGCATGTTAACTATTTACAATTTTAAACAGAATAGTCTATTGAGGGCCTTCTGCATTGACCAACGCAGCAAGCCTGTCCCTTGTTGCATTTCCTGGTCTCTCGTGTGCATGAGGAGCTTCTTGGAGAGGAGGTCCCAGGTCCAGGATGTCCTGTGCCACATCATTGTCTGGTTCCAGGACATCGCCATTGTCCAGGCAGACATTGTGCAAGAAGGCACATGATGCAATCACCTGCGGTGCAAATGTAGGTTTAACCTCCAAGGCCCTGAACAGAGTTGACCTCCAGCGAGTCTTCATCATGCCGAATGCTCTCTCCACAATAGAACGGGCCTTTGAGTGGTGGTAGTTAAATTTTCTTTGCACCCGGCAATTCACAGGTTCTCTGTAAGGAGTCATAAGAGAGATGGGTTCATCCAAACAAGGATATCCACCGTCTCCTAGGATGAAGTATCCATTAGGTGGATACCTTCTAGCAATGTAGAATGAACTGTTTTTTAAAATGCGGGTGTCGTGTACGGAACCTGGATAGCCCACGAAAATATCCATGAACTTTCCAGTATGGTCACAGAGGGCTTGCATGCTAATGGAATAAAACCCTTTGTAATTTAAGTAGTCCAGACGATGAAGCGATGGAGGCTTGATTCGAACATGACAACCGTCTATGGCACCAACAGCTTTGTTTAGGACTGGTGTCCCCGCCAGCTGGGCAAATCCATTACCCACAGTGTCGATGTCTGCAGGCTTTGGAAAACTGATGGCTCTATTTAGATTGTCCCAAAATAACTGTGCCACTCTGTGAACAATCCTGTGAATGGTTGATTTGGGAATACTGAAAACTCTGGACACCACACGGTAGGAAAGACCATGGGCAAGCCAGTAGACGTAGACGAGGACTTCATATTCATTTCCCCAACCATGGTTCTGCTCTCTCTTCATTAGACGCTGTAGGGAATGCATGGCCTGCCGCGATAATCTGAAATCCTGTCTGGTCTCCAACTCGACATCTAACCACAGGCGTAGGACAGGCACATCCGTGTTAAATCTGCAGTATGTCACTGGGCGGTCACTCTGGAAAAAAATAAAGATATTAATATGTGCAATAACCTCAGTGTTTACAACCCCTGCAATGTGACTATATCAATCAACCACCTGAATGTAAACAGTCATTTATTATTCATCAGCACTGCAGTGCTTTGTGTAGTTTTTTTTAGCTACACAAAGTTTATTTTATTCAGTGTACATAAGACATGTTTATACAGTCTATTGATAGACGCTAAGAGATTTTAATAAACTCAATTATTATAATAATAATTATTTTTATTAACACAACCTGTGTGATCTCCTTCATGATCAGGTAGCTTCAGCCATTTAAATTGTTCTCAATATACTGACTCTGATTCAAGCTTTCAGTAAACAATGGTCTGAAGTGTTGCTTGTTTACGTTCTGCTTATGTGACATAAATGATTGATTGACATAGCGAAAACAGTAATGCATCATGTTTAATCAAATGCAAAACATGCAAACTTCTTAGACACAATGCTAAGCTAGTTGCTAGCTGACTTGAGCAAAGTTCCAACATTTAAAAAAAAAGACATACCTGAAACATCCCAGCTATTGCAAGCATACGGCGAACGCGTCTTCTGTTTCGTATGTTTCTTCTCCGTTGATTCCTCAAACGTACATAAATCAACATAGCACACACAACAGGCAGGAGCTCCGTTGCGGTCGGCATTTTCACACGTGAATGAAAATAGTACTTATTGTATGTGGTTTTATTGCAGTTTACAGGCAATGTGTATTACTGCCGTCTACTGGACAGGGGTGAAATCAGGCACGTTGATGTTGCACGTGACGTAAGAACACGTTCGCTGCGCCAATTTGCATACTAGTGGTGTCCCATTTCTTAGGGGAAAATCTTCACTTTGCACTTCCCTCACTGAAGGCACTTTACTGTGGAGGGAACTCAGCGAGTGTTCTCAGAGGCAAGTGTTGGAATTGGGACAGGGCCTTAAAGTCAATCCGGCAAAAAAATAAACTCTATAAGGAATATAAAAGAAATCCAAATTGCTCTAATAAAGATCGATATACAAAATACAAGAACAAATTAACAAGTTTAATACGAGTCAGTAAAGCTAATTATTTTGCAAAAAGACTTAAATCATTCTCAGGGGATCAGAAGGGGTCTTGGAAGGTGCTGAATGAGGTGCTCGGACGCAACAAAAAAGCACCAGTCCTCCCTGACGCCAGAGCATCAACGAAGTCTAAAAGTAATACCAACAATGACTCTTTGCCCAATGCTTTTAATGCGTTGTTTTCATCAGTTGGAAGAGAGCTGTCTCAACAAATCTGCCCACCAGGGGGTGTAAATTATAAGGATTTTTTGACAAACAATTACTCTAGCTCCTGCTACCTCAGACCTACCTGTAAAATGGAAGTAACCAATATAATAAATAAAATGAAATGTTCATATACAGCTGGTGCTGAAAGCCATTGTGAATGAAATATCTGAACCAGTGACTCATATAATTAATCTATCTTTACAACAAGGCATTGTCCCTAAACAAACTAAGGTGGCCAAAATAATACCTATATAAAAGTCAGGGGACAAAAATGACACAACTACAGCCCCATATCTATTCTGCCCTGCCTGTCCAACATTCTGGAAAGAGTGGTTTATGAAAGATTATTAGATTATTTAAACAAACACAACATACTGGATCCTTCACAATATGGCTTCAGGAGAAGCAGCAGCACGTGTATGGCCATATTAGATCTAGTTGAAAAAATTAACAATGCTCTTGAGGGTAGAGAAAGGTCCATCCATCCATCCATTTTCTACCCCTTAATCCATTACTGGGTCAGGGGGGTGGCAGTCAGAGATGCCACCCAAGTCTCATAGCACCAGCCCCTCACTGACCCTCTGCAGGTGGTGAGTCCACAGGAGGCTGCTCTCTGACTGTGAGCATAGCCTTGATCTTTCAGTGGGGGCTTTGGGCAAAGTGGGGTTAAGTGTCTTGCCCAAGGACACAACGACAGCAGTCATCAGTGGGTAGAGAAATTGGTGTTGGGGTTTTTCTCGACCTTTCCAAAGCATTTGACTCGATTGACTTTCAAGTGTTGGTAAACTGTCTCACTGTGGCGTCCGGGGTGTAGCTCTCCAGTGGTTTAGGGACTATGTCTATGGTAGACAACAGTACGTGAACACAGATGGGTCTGACTCTCAACTGGAAAACATAACATTTGGTGTTCCCCAGGGATCTATACTAGGGCCCCTTTTATTTATTATCTACATTCATGATTTTGGAAATTCTTGTGATATTCATCGAATACTTTTTGCAGATGACACAAATTTGTTTATGTCGCATAAACGCATCGATCACCGTGAAAACTCCTTAAATGAGCAACTCATCAAAGTAAACAACTGGTTCAGATGCAATAAATTGTCACTTAATCTCAACAAGACTTCTTATATGATCTTTCACTCAGTCATCTGTACCACAACCCAAATATTAATATAACCATTGATAGTAAAACCATTAATAAAGTTGAAGTTATACAATTCTTAGGAATCCATATAGATCAATTTACAAATTTTAAAAAGCATCTTGATGAGCTTGTTAAAAAATTGTCAAAAATTGTAGGTTTATTGTTTAAAGTGAGAAAGTTTCTTCCCTTAGAAGCTTTACTGTCCTTGTATAGATCTCTGTTCGAGCCTCATTTGCATTACTGTAATATCATATGGAATAATACTTACCCCACGTACATGTCTAAACTTCAAATATTACAAAAGAAAGCCATAAGAGCACTTTCTTGGTCCTTGGGTCATGCTCCCACAGATGTTCTCTTCCATAGATATGGTCTATTGAAGTTGCCTGAAGTTAATCTCTACCATAATGCGTGCACAATGTATAGGGTGGTTAATAAGTTAAATGTTCGATTGTGTGAACTCATTCCATTATATTTACCATCACACCAACATAATACTAGGAACAAACTGCTGCCTAAAGGGAAATACAGAAAATTAAAATGCACAAGTTTTAGTATTTGCCACAAAGGCCCAAATACATGGAATGAGTTGGATAGTAACCTAAAGCAATGTGCCACATTATCCAAATTTAAGAGGGAACTGAAGGCTCATCTACCGGGGAAGGATGTGATGAAAGCGTTGAAGCCCTAAGAGTCTGGAACCACTCTCTATTTTGTATCTGTTTGAGGCGAGAGGTAGATCTCTCTTTCACAGCCATGATCTCAGGGCTGGCAGAAGTTACCCTACAGTAAACTCCAGCTGCAAACACAACTACATATTAGGAATACATTCAATATTATTCTTATCATTACTATATCATTATTATTGGTAGCGGGGATGAGCATTCAGCAGCTTCGCCTAAGTGTCCTGTACTTCCTTGAAGTGTGGTGAAGATGTTATTATTTTTTATTCTTTATTTATCTATTATTGTTATTGATTTAGGATTATTATCTTTATTGTCATTATTATTATTATTATTATTACTTATGTATTCTGGGAGCACTATTTACTTTTTATTATTATTATTATTTATATTATATATATATATATATATACACATTATTTTTTTTATTTTTATTTTTTATAATTTCTCCAAACTGGATATGATTGATAGACTGTATGATGACTGTATGATAGACTGTATGATGACTGTATGATGACTGTATGATGACTGTGTGATGACTGTATGATGACTGTATGATGACTGTGTGAAAGACTGTATGATGACTGTATGATGACTGTAGGTTTGTGACTGTATGATGACTGTATGATGACTGTATGATGACTGTAGGTTTGTGACTGTATGATGACTGTATGATGACTGTATGATGACTGTGTGATGACTGTATGATAGACTGTATGATGACTGTATGATGACTGTATGATAGACTGTATGATGACTGTATGATGACTGTATGATGACTGTATGATGACTGTGTGATTGACTGTATGATGACTGTATGATGACTGTATGATGACTGTGTGATGACTGTATGATAGACTGTATGATGACTGTATGATGACTGTGTGATTGACTGTATGATGACTGTATGATGACTGTATGATAGACTGTAAGTTTGTGACTGTATGATAGACTGTATGATAGACTGTATGATGACTGTATGATGACTGTATGATAGACTGTATGATAGACTGTATGATAGACTGTATGATGACTGTATGATGACTGTATGATGACTGTATGATGACTGTATGATGACTGTGTGATTGACTGTATGATGACTGTATGATGACTGTATGATGACTGTGTGATGACTGTATGATAGACTGTAAGTTTGTGACTGTATGATAGACTGTATGATAGACTGTATGATGACTGTATGATGACTGTATGATAGACTGTATGATAGACTGTATGATGCCTGTATGATGACTGTATGATGACTGTATGATGACTGTATGATTGACTGTAGGTTTGTGACTGTATGATAGACTGTATGATGACTGTATGATAGACTGTATGATGACTGTATGATGACTGTATGATGACTGTATGATGACTGTATGATAGACTGTATGATGACTGTATGATGACTGTATGATGACTGTGTGATTGACTGTAGGTTTGTGACTGTATGATGACTGTATGATGACTGTATGATGACTGTATGATGACTGTATGATAGACTGTATGATGACTGTATGATGACTGTAGGTTTGTGACTGTATGATGACTGTGTGAAAGACTGTATGATGACAGTATGATGACTGTATGATAGACTGTAAGTTTGTGACTGTATGATAGACTGTATGATAGACTGTATGATGACTGTATGATGACTGTATGATAGACTGTATGATAGACTGTATGATGACTGTATGATGACTGTATGATGACTGTAGGTTTGTGACTGTATGATAGACTGTATGATAGACTGTATGATGACTGTATGATGACTGTATGATAGACTGTATGATAGACTGTATGATGACTGTATGATGACTGTATGATGACTGTATGATAGACTGTATGATGACTGTATGATGACTGTATGATGACTGTATGATAGACTGTATGATGACTGTATGATGACTGTATGATAGACTGTATGATAGACTGTATGATGACTGTATGATAGACTGTATGATAAACTGTATGATAGACTGTATGATAGACTGTATGATGACTGTATGATAGACTGTATGATGACTGTATGATGACTGTATGATAGACTGTATGATAGACTGTATGATGACTGTATGATAGACTGTATGATAAACTGTATGATAGACTGTATGATAGACTGTATGATGACTGTATGATGACTGTAGGTTTGTGACTGTATGATGACTGTATGATGACTGTGTGAAAGACTGTATGATGACAGTATGATGACTGTATGATAGACTGTAAGTTTGTGACTGTATGATAGACTGTATGATAGACTGTATGATGACTGTATGATGACTGTATGATAGACTGTATGATAGACTGTATGATGACTGTATGATGACTGTGTGAAAGACTGTATGATGACTGTATGATGACTGTAGGTTTGTGACTGTATGATAGACTGTATGATAGACTGTATGATAGACTGTATGATAGACTGTATGATAGACTGTATGATAGACTG